ATGATTGGCCCAATCCACATGGTGACCAGGCTGCATAAACAAGTGATAAACATATCACTTGCCACATTCAGATATCCTTCTAGACTAAAAGATCGTGTGAGTCCAACGGGAAAAATAGGTGGAGACAGCCAAGACTCATCAAACTGGCGCTGCGACCTGAAGCACCCGCCCTGTTGTTTCAGAGTTGCAGTGGGCGCTTACATGCATTGAAACCTTTCCGAATTTTCCCCTGGTATTTTCTCCGAGCTTTGATGCACTTTTTTATATAAGCGGCTGTGGCTTTGGGATCGTCCATCCGGTATGTCCGACTGATCTATTTTGGCCCAATGGGACTCGTCTAATGGGGAAAAAGTACCGAGTACCCCTTACAAGGAAGTTAGTTAGTACTATCTATCAATTGTACAAACCTTGTACCTGGGTACTTTCTACATATACTATGCAAACCAACAAATAGACATGTATTTGTGTACCTCTCTATGACTGTTCCACTTTACCCCAGCCAGCCATTTCGCAAATAAGATGGGTAAAGTTCCAGACCACATGGTTAACAGGTACCCGAACCTGCCCAGAGAGTGGGAAATAGGGCAAAATTCCAAACTGGGCACTGGATACACTCCACAGCATGTGGACTCGGTAGGCTATAGCTCGTATATGGACGGTCTCCTAATCAGAATTTTCAATAATATCGATAGCGTAAAAGAGCTTGGTCCAACTCCGAGGTGGTTGCACAGCCATGTGCCTAACGGACAAGGACTCACTCCGTACGGAGTAGATAGAATCTTGTACAATCATGTTATCTCCATCCACGGAGATCATCGCTATCAGATCAGCGTACATATCTATTTGTCAGAATGTCTCATCCTCGAACCAAAAAAACCCAAAAGAAACCCCCAAAAACAACAACTCGGTTGAACAATTACCCTAGTTAGATCTTGACTATGGAGTAGTTCGCCCCAGAACCACCCCTATCAACCATCGAAGCAAAAATGAACGGATACAGAAGGAGAACCAAGAGGAACATGTATGGCTAGTGCCCAGCTCAGCGGAGCCGGCCGTACCAGATCGGGCCCGAGAAATGTCCAAATCCACAATCCTCGTATAGACCTCATCAATATAGACTCTAGCTAGAGGTTTCAACTTTGACCAGGTTTTCACGGCCCCTCGGGAAACTACCAGATACTATTCTCGGCAGAGATACATTGTAAATTCAGCACGGAGTACATGAGTCAGGCCATCGCACAGGGCACCTTGCAGAGACGTTTGATCGTCCGCCCTGAAACGATCTAGAATTTCGACGGTTGAGCCGTTGCAGGAAACGTGGGGGCATTACTCCTCTTCTCATGCAAGGAACTGCATGCGGAAAGATGTGTCGGTCGACGACTTGTCGAGGAACAGGGGATGCGGTTTAGCCTGCCTAACCCCCTGCTCTTGAAAGAGGAGCAGGACTAATGGAGTAATCCGGCTATTACTCCTAGCCTGGTCGTTGGATCGTTGGTTGCAATGGAGTAGTGTTGTTTGTGGAGTTGTTTATCTTCTTCCTTTTTTTCAGTTGGTCGGTATGTGTAACAGATATAGAAAACCCACGTTAATCGGCAATAATCACCTTGCCTCGAACAGCCTTGGGACAATACACGTGGGAGAAACACATGGGTGTGGAGGTTAAGGGGGAGAGTTCACTTCGGGTTAGCGTCGTATCCCTATCCCTGATCTAACCCTCAATCTGGAATATCTCCGGCGTTTTCCAGGTTTTCGAGTCCGATGAGAATTCCCCCTGATTCAAACTATGTTGATATTTTGCGTACAATTGAGATCCACTCGTTTCTTGGCATTCAATTTACAATCTAATTGAATTCACTCGGTCTCCATGTGTTCTTGCTCATAGAGAGAGTTCATGAGGCGAGAATGGTGTTTTAGATTTAGTTCTTATATTAGAATAAAGTGAAACATGAGTTTTCAAAGTCGCATGGCCAAGCCTTTGGGGAACTCTCTGGAGCACAAAGGTACAGCATGGTCGTGATTACTTCTCCACGTGAATCAGGGAGCTTTCGGGAACTACCCAGAGCACCAGATGGTCTTGACCTACGTGTTCACGTGGATCAGGGGAAAGGTTGAACGGAGATAGAGATAGGAGAAAATATCTAGTGAAGATAGCAAACATATTCTTCTAAAGTCTTGATATGTGCAATGTCTTTTGAAGCAGTTTATATACAGAGCAAGCCCGGTCAAACAGAGTCAATGCTTTTCCTCCTCTTCTCCACCATGGCTTCCTTCATGAACGGACTCCGTGCTCGGATATTCTTGCCCCAGATAAGTACCAATATCGGGGCAAAAGATAGAGTCAACGCAATAAAGCCTAGTACCGTACTAGCCCACTCAAGACCAAGATAAGAATACATGCTCATAGTAGCTAGAGGCAGGAACGCCGCTAGGGTATTCTCGCCAGTGGCAATGATACCCATACAACTGCCCGCGTATTTGCTGTAAGCGTCGACCACGTAGTCCGAGATTCCCGTCACAACAATGACGCTACCGGCCCCTACCATGGCGAGGCCAACGGCCGGTGCGATCCACGGAAAATCGGGGTATGACGTCCAGGCGTATGTGAACATACCACCAGAAATACCGAATATTCCGCCCAAAATAGCGAGATAGAGCCGGGCCTCGGGGATTGGCGTACCGGGGATTTCTTTGTTGCGGGGTGCCGAGTCGAAGTAAAGTTTGCCTGAGAACAGTGTAATCACCCATCCCAGAAGCTCTCCAATCACTACTGCTGCTTGGACGTATCCAGCTTGTGCTGGTGTCCAGCCATACAACTCTGCAAATACCTGCTCAACTGATTGAGTGAATAGATACAATGTACCGACGGTAAAGGCGGACCATAGTGTCGACACAAACACGACTGACTCGGTGAAGAACATGAAAAGAGGCCTGCTCGCACTGTGGCCCACGATGCTCAAAATCGACTGCCCTTGTGTGTCGATTTCATGCTGGGTATAAGCGTTCTTACCCTCATGACGTAGAGCCTTAGCCCGCTGTCCTAGGATTGCAATCCCACGACACTCCTTAAACAAGAAGAAGTATAGAGGGAAGAAAGCACCATACCACATGAGCTGGATATAGCCAATCCATCTCCACGTGAGAGCCTGGTAGATAGCAGCCCCAATGACAGGTCCAATGCTACTACCTGACAGGTATGCAACGATAAAAAGACTGACAGGGACGTTCCGATTTCGCTCCGTGTCCCAGACATTCCCAATAACCGTGCCAGAGGTATTGGCTAAGATTGAGACGCAACCTCCGGCAAAGAACCTCGTTATGACCAACGTGTAAAAATTCTGCGCCACGGCCTGGGGCACAACAAAACAGAGGAAAGCCATGTACGTGCCCAGGAACACCCATCGCACACCAAAATCCTCCATGAGCGGGAGGACCAGCAGGGAGAAACAACCGCCTCCAAGGGCCCATGATGTAACGGGCCAGTATGAGTGGGGGAAATTGGCGTCTGAAATGTTAAAGAACTCATTCATCGGATCGTGAGCTACTGTGATGATTGTGCCGTTGATCATGGTCATGAAGGTGGCGAACACGGCGAGGCCTGTGAGAAGCCATTTCTCGCACAGAGACCAGTTATATGGGTTTCCGGGATCTCGGGGTCCATCCCAGGACACAATTGTTACATCTTTGCTGGGGTCTTGATGATCTGTGTTGCTGTTAGTCAATATTCTGGACGTCGGTTGCTGGTGTTGTTCTGGGTTTACCTATTGTCTGATCATCATGGCCGGAGACATCACCACGTGCGAACACCATTCCGATCCCACCCACGATTCAACAAACCTCTTCAAGACTAGTTTTGATTCACAAATTCTGGTCGTCTTTGTGGTTCTCTTCCGCGTGGTGATCCGGAGTGAACCGAACTTGAAGGTATGATGTAATTTTTCACTTCAAAGATTTGGTATAGATCGTAGTGGCAAACAACAAGCTGATTTCTTCGAGCTTAGACTTTCAGAAAACAAAGAATTCCAGCTATATTTAAACCCTTCCCATATACGACGAGAAAAAATTATGTACGCGCCATCTCAACTTGGGATCCGAACAGAGTGATCCTCTCCCCACCACAGGCTCAGTTCTCCAGACAATAGCCGCTTTAGGACTAGTGACGCTATTTCCCAGGGTCGATTTCAACTACACACAATGTGGTTGGTCAATGATGTTGCTTTGACCGGCTCTTCTGTTCATGTGCTTAGATGAAGGTATTAGCTAAATGATCTACTTCTATACCCCACATTGGCTTTGTCAACCCGGTGGGATTCATCCCGAGGCGAATCAAATTCGGCTTACCCTACCTTGAGCTAGACGATTTTCGTCGATCGGGCCTAGAAGACGATCTTTTGCTCTAGTCGTCATCTATCATTCCGCGTTTAGCGATATCGCAGCTTCAATATCGAATATCTATTCGTTCTATCATGTACCTAGGCTGTATCAAGCAGCCAAGACGTGGTGGGGTCTGATGGCTCACCTTATGAGGCCAAGAGAATGGCTTAATTTACTTTAATCACTATCAATCAGAGCGTTTTTGGTAAAATTGTGGCTCTTCAAATGACTACTAGATCTTTGTTCGAGTTTGATATCCGATTCAATAGTCGTCAGTCACCTTCTAACGTACTACCCAAATCCCTACTGTTCAAATTGGCTACTCTTCTATAAAATCATAAGCCTATTAATAGCACTTGACGTTCCCTTCAGCCGCATGTGAGTCGTAAACTCTCAAGGTCCAATTTCGATATCTATTGAATATTCCAATCATCAAAATCAATCTCGATCCTCTGAATTCGGATCTGAGCTCTGCTGCCAAACCGCTGTTTGTTGCGGATCGATTGCATTCCAGCGATCGCATTTCATTGCCTAATAGGTACTAGCCTTTTTTCTTGTTTAGGCAACTGCTTCCCTGTTTGCATGTATCTAGATTATTTCGACAAACGGACACGTTAACATCAACCAGGCAGATTTCGGAGGCCAGAATAGATTACGAGATAAAAATCATCATTCGGCTCAACTTACAATGGTTTTCCCGGTGGGCAGCCAGCAAACCGGAATCGTCGGGACGCCCATCAATCACTGTCTCACTCTACTCATTCGGTCGTGGCAATGGCCCATTGGCAACACCAGAAATTCAGGAACAGAACTCAATTCTGTTGTGTTATAATATTCGCCATCTTCTAAATCCACCGCGAAATCTACGTATCATGACAACTGGGCTGTCGCCTCGGCTACGGAAGGAATTTCTGAAAAATGAAATCGTGGGAAGTTTCCTTGAAAGAACACAGGGTGGGATAGTCAACTCACTAAAGACATCTTGTGATTACTCCAAGGGGCTAGTTCTTTCAGAGAACCAAAAAGTCATGGCAATGAGTAACGACAACCAGTACTCACCAGAAACCCAATATCTCACTTGTTGTGACTGTGTGTTGTGAGGAGGGCCGCCACCGGAGTGTTGCTTTTGTGGAAGAATTAGCGAAAAGACTTTCATTGCTAAGAGATGGCGCTGATATGTCTAATTCCTGGAAACTGAGTGTTACTACTTTCCATCGAGACCTGGAAGCCTTGGGGTCTGTCTCCAATGGTTCGGACATGATAGTAAGTCAACACGTAGGAAAATCCTCTGCTGAAAGTAAACGAGAGAAAGGAAATTATGCAAGAAGGCTCAATCAGAAGAACAGGAATAGATATGAGGATGTGATGGTGCAATGATGTCCCTGCCGGAAGCTGGAGTAGAGCATAGGGGGAAATATGTGGATGGACGATAATCCAAAGAGGATCACTACATCTATATTTTGCACCTCTCTCCTCCCCTTACCGTTTTATTCCAGAGTCCCAAAGACAGTCGAAAAGACCATGATATCACTAATTTTGCCATCGTGCCATTCATTGACGAGCATTTGACCTCATAACTATTTGGCTATAATTAACTATCTCGCCTTTCGTGACGCTCAAGTTAGCTTTGCGTGAGTATCATACTAAATATTCCCCTTTTCTGTTTCTTTATTCCATGGTTAGAATAGACGACATTTATTGTTCAATACCAGGAGCAAGATGGCTCTGATAGGTTGACAAGAAGTGTTTATATCATATGTTTGCCACTCCCAACATATGACATCGAAGACTCCCCGCATTTAAACATAAGATAAATAGTTTATTTTCTCTTAGTTTCCGCCACATTTTCAAGTGAACTTGCTTTTCAACACTTCACACATATCCAACCCTTGATTTGCCACCACTACACACACAGTCTATTACGCTCAAACATGGTCAAAACCGACAGAGATCACAACCCCCTGGATCCCAATTATCAAAAGCGCCGCAGCTCTTTGGGAAGTATGGAGGATCAACATCAAGACCAATCCAATGTCAAGCAGGAGGACCTCCTGGTGGACAGAGATGTTGCCCCGTGCGTTTAGATCTCAACCTTGCAAGTTTGCCTTGAAGTATATACGGCAGCTAATCGATTCAAATAAAACAGATCTTCCCGCGCCATGTGCTCTGAGCTTGCACACCAACATGCCGTGGAGGGTGTTCACAAGAACACAGAGCGCCGTTCTTCGCAAGATGTCGATCACAGTATGTCTTCGTTACGCCCGGCCTACAATTTTGGTATTATATCACATGTACTAACGAGCATCAGATTCCTTCCTCTCTGATCTAAGTACCGACCGTGGGCTCCAAGCGCACCCGGAACAACTTGAAGAGTAATCAGTCTTCATATACTTTGTTGGACCCTGGACTACGCTAGAAGGTTCAGAGGGAAGACTTGGATCGGAACTAGGCGTGATGCCTTCATGAAGCAATGATAAGGTGTAAATTAAAAATGTGAATCTATGCTATACATTTTACTTGTGTCCTGTAAATTGTACATTGTGATGGCCTCAAATCGCTTCGTGAGGCAAAAGTGTGTACTGGTGATGTCATCGTCATGTCTAACCCGCATAGAAGTACAACCCAACGTCATAAGAAGTACAAAAAGCAATTCTAATTTCTTTGTATATCCTTGTATTCTTCTATCTACTTCGGAGCCTGTAGGCCACCACTGTCAATCACTATGCAAATCAAAAACCTTCTTTCCCCGATACCAAGTCTGGCAGACACGCGCCTCAAGCAATGACTCTGGCATCCACTTCATATCAACAACCAAAAAATCCGCATATAATCCGCTTCGCAAACTTCCAGTCCAAGATTCAGCAAATCGCGCATAAGCTGCACCAGCCGTAGCAGCAGTAGCCGCCTCGGCCAACCCCAGCCTGAAATGCACATTTACAGTAGCATCAGTCTCGGTCTCAAGCGCCGAGCGCCTGGTAGTAGCATTGTAAAGATTGGGGAAAGGAAAGTGAGCCGCAGTAGGTGCATCCGTTCCAATAGCAATCGGAGCACCCCCATCTAGGAAGTCCTTGTACGCAAATGCGCGCTTACACCGCTCGGGGCCCACGAGGCCAGGCCAGGCCTTGAGAAGCAAAGGATCCGAGTGCACGGGCTGGATTGAGGCCGTGATACCCAGCTGACCGAGTCGCTTGGCGTCTTCCGAGGTTGTCAGCTCCAGGTGTTCGATTCTGTGTCTTCGGCCTGGCGTGCCGACTCTCGACAGCACATTGATTGCTTGGTGGATGGTTTTGTCGCCTATCGCATGCATTGCACATTGGAGTCCTGCTGAGTCTGCGCGCTGGACTACTTCTTGTAGCATATTCTCTGGCCAGATTGGGTCGACGGGGTCGGATTTACCAGTGTACGGTTGGAGGAGAGCGGCGGTGCATCCGTCGACAACGCCATCGCAGATGAGCTTTATTCCGAGGACGCGGAAATCGGGCTCGTTGCATTGGGTGTGTAACTCGATTGCTCGATCTACGTGTTTGAAGTTGGCGTTTTGATCCGCTGAGAAGGGGACGAGCCAGTGCACGCCGATGTGGAATGGGATGGTATGATCGCGACGATAGAGATTCAGAATCTCCCAGCTTCCTTCTTCCATAGCCATATCCACTAGTCCGGTATACCCGGCAGCGGTGTATGCAGCAATTGCAGTGTCCAACGCTCTCAGTTTGTCTTCTGTGGAGGTACAACTTTCTAGGAAAGGCCATGCAAGGTTCAAAGTAGCTGATTCGTCAAGTAGGCCTGAAGCTCTTCCATTTTCATCCCGGTGGATGGTTCCACCGGGAAGATCGGGAGCTGTATGAGCCCCCATCTCATCAAGAGCAGCTTCGCTGCACCACATGGAGTGGAGGTCGAAGGAGTCAATAAAGATGGGACGTGGGTCGATACCATCCAGCATACTTGCTAGTGCAACTCCATTGGTAGATGATTGGATCCAGCCTCTGCATAATATGCGCGGAAGAGATGGATTGGCCTCGGCGTAAGATTTGATGGCCGCGCGGATTTGATCGAGGGAGGTACATTCGATGAGGTTGGCTTTGCGCAATGAGTGTCCGTACTGAAGAATGTGTACATGGGCATCGATGAAGCCTGGAATGACAGTACGATCTTCCAGGTCAATGACATTTGCATTTTCTGGGATGGTTATTCCATCGAGACAGCCAACATGAGAGATCTTGTCATTCTCGATGATCATGCTCTCAGCAAAGTTCCCGTCGTTATTCGAGGCTTGGGACGGCATGAGGATGCGCCCATTTTTGAAAACGTATGTCATGGTTCCTAGTTTTTTTGTTATTCTTAGGCCCTTGCAAAGAAGAATACGGCTATTTCTGAAGTATTTATATCATGGGAAATCGGAATTCTCAACTCTTAGACCCGGACTTCTCCAGGACTTTCCATTTGAGAACAATATTGCTCGGAAGGACCGGCCATTAAACTGCATGGTGATTGGACGATAGGAGAGGGGGTGTTGACAGAAAGCTGGTGTATGAACGATGTATGGTATAGACCGATATTGACAACTCTAAAAAGACAAACGAGGCTATTTTAACAAGCTGGCCAGATCTCGATGACTAACTGTATACACTTTTGTATGGTATGTCTAGTATCCAATGTATTCATTCGACAGTGGTTTCCAATGTTGAGTTCACAACCTCCAATTTTCGAGGTTCAACAATAACTTGGATCACTTGCTTCACTGTTTTGTCATCAACCAGCCAAGTGGTCGAGCAGTAACTCGACCGTCACATCTTCCTTGGTCTAGTGGTGATGATTTCCGCTTGTCATTAACACCGATAAGCGCGGGAGACCGGGGTTCGATTCCCCGAGGGAGAGATTTCTTTTTTGTCCTTAGATTTTATTTCTATAACTATTTTAATCACTCACACCGGCTAATACCCAGTATGTTTTATTTTGTTTTTCTTCTTTTTTTTTCAACAATGTGATGCTTCGAAAGTTTCTCCTATTATTCAATTTCTCTAGTATATCACTAATGGAGGGGGGAAATTGCCAACAAAAAAACCCTGGTCTGAACATATCAAGTGGGGCCGTAGTAGCCTTGGTCTGACGGTGAAGGGCAACACTCTTTGACCGCGGGACTCACTATCTTCATGTTTCTTTACCAGTTGAAACAGTGTTTGATGCGTCACTCAAATGAATGTTCTATATGGAGTTTGATAGCTTACGCCTAATTGCTGCTTTAATACAGTCAGTACATTTGATGCGAGATATATATATATATGGTATCTCCTATATATCTATGCAAGCATGTATAAAATGTGATCAATCGGTGAACATGATTAACCGTCATCCTTAATCCAATATGCTGACCGTCGGGTTGAATTAGTCCATGATCATTACGAATGCCGAGAATAAAAGTACGTACACATCCTGGTTATATGAATATTCCAAGCACTGCGGGTGTCCGTTAAAGAGCACTCAAACAGACCCAACTTAAGGCATTGCTGTAGGCCGATTCGCTTCCATTGGAATCTCACTGCAGGTATATATTACCTTTTACCTAACATAAATAATATGGGCTCGAGGGCTGTGTATTTTGTAGCCCTTGTTCGATACTTTGTGCTAATGACTTGCCACGGATGATGATCAGCGATATGTTTGCGTGGGCAGTGCACAAACTTATTATAGATTCAATAATAATATGTCATCTCATTGAACCCTCGGGTCGCACCGACAACCCCATGCACAAGACCAGGTGGGGATAACACCACCTTCCAAATCACCAGTCAAACGCTGTGCAAACAAAGGCAGCAATGATTATTTCCAAGTAAAGTTTTCCCGCCCCCAGAAAATGATGTCATATAAATGTCCAAGAGCCTCCAACCCCAATGATGAACAGGCGTGCAAAGAAGGCGTGCGTAATGCAGTCTTAGGGCTTGGCAATCGGATAGAACGCCGAACCTTCAACTCACGACTGCAGTACCAAGCGCCAGCGGAACATCATGACTTGTATGAGTTTTGAGAGCGGAAGAAAAGAGGGGCATCACATAACCTCTGGCAGCTTCGTTCTTGATTGTACAGTGTCGGGTAATTTCGTAGCAGGATGTGGACCAAACCCCCAACACTCGATATTGTAGGGCGAAGGATTGCGCGACGACAATCCCCAGGTGCGCCTTCTCCCACTTGATCGACAACTTTTGGGGGCGACGAGGCCCCGATTGGCTGTTGATGGTGGAACCCGGGAACATAGCGCGATGGGCTCACTCGGGCTATGCCGCTAGAGCCCTAGCCTCACGATACCTTCCAGGGTTTATGACAACACATTGGGCGTATTTAAGCATAAAGCCCCCAGATACTAGTTCTTTTTCTCTTTTGTTCTTGCAATTCCTCAATTAACCTACAAACACCTCTTCACCTCCATTTCATCTTCTCCGTCTTATACTCGAAGTATATACTTGCTCCAACCGCCACCATGCAGTACAAGTCTTTCACAGCCCTCCTATTCGCCAGCATGGCCATCGCCGCCCCGGCCGACACCAGCGAATCTGCAGAAGATATTCTTTCGGATATCATTCCCCCATCCATTGCTGTTGTTCTCGCAACCGCGGTCCCAACCTCATTCTGGGCCGAAGCTACCAACACCGCCGCTTTCCTCTCCCAAGTCGAACAAGGCATCGTTTCTAACTCCTGGCCAACCTGGTACAGCAGTCTTCCCGACAGCGTGAAGGAATACGTCACCACTGCCGTTGAGGACTACTATCCTTCCTTCGCCTCGTCCATTTCTGCCGAGATCACCAGCTCCGGTGGCAGTAGCTCTAGCCCCAACACTGCCTCTGCAACCTCTACCGGTGCTTCAAGTTCTGGCGCTTCTAGCTCTGGCGCTTCTAGCTCTGGTGCCTCTAGCTCTGACACTTCATCTACCGATTCTACTTCTGCCACGGATTCATCTTCCTCCACTGCCACTGGCTCGGACGCTGCTTCGTCCTCGGCTTCGGTATCAGCGTCCGGATCTGCTGCATCTACAACTGCTGATGGTGGTGCCGCTCCTACTGGTATTGCTATAAGCCTTGCTGGCGCCGCTGGTGTTCTGGGACTTGCCCTCGCCCTGTAAGAATGGAACATTGGACATTCTTAAAACATCTGCGGTAGATTCGTGGGTCTTTTTCCTATTTGTTGTATACGGTCGTTATAAAATGACTCTTTAGTTTCCATGTTTTTAACGAACCATCGAGCCCCGATGGCGAGCTCATACCTTATGTACTTACAACCTAATTTTGTCAATACGACTGCGCCATTGCTTTTGAGTACACTTTCATTGTGATTATGAATCTTACAGTAGGTACAGTACGGGGTGGCAGTTTCACATGCATGTATTTGGCCAAGTAGTACCACCCCCCCCACTGCGCAATTCGAGCATTTCATTCCTCCTTTCACCCTGCCTGTGAGGTATCGACTGGCTTGTTGCGGGCCTGGATACCAACGGAATCACAGTTGACTCCTGATAATCCAGGAGCCCCGGGCCCGATCTCAGACTTCCATCATGGACTCACATAGAATCAGAAGGAGTGCGGTCCCTTTTCTTTCCCTTTTTCGAGGAGAGGGTCCAGGGAATGAAAACATCCTTTCGGTAGCCCTGAGTAGTTGGATGTTTGTATTTGTTTCCAGAAGTACTTGTTTCAGACTGGGACTGTTCCTGGGCAACCGTGCTTCCTACGCTGCCATTATCAATGTGGGTGGGGATGTCAGGTTTGATCGGGGCGTCTTCTGATAGAACTGGGGTTTCGACTAAAACGGGTTCTCAAGCCAAGAAACCCTGATTGCGCCGAGACTGGAAACCAGACCCTCTCCGATTAGCGCGCAGCCGGGATATCTCAGCCTGGTATGTCATCATGGTGCTTTTCTCCGATCGATGTAAGATATCTGATGCAATTGAGCTTCTGGTTGGGTCGGGCGCGGCGCTGTTGATCGTTTCTATGGCTGCTGTTTAATATTAGTATTTAGATAACTGCTTAAGGCACACTGAAAACTCACCATTGGCAGCGCGGACTTCTTGTTTTATCACTGCCCCAGCAGTACCTTTTTCTTTCTGTGCCCAAGACAAGTATGAAGGCTGCATCATGCGTTGCGGGTAGCCCAATGCGATGAAATGGTAATCCTCCGTAGACATCTCAACCACACTCCCCTTAACACGACACCAGTATATACCATTTCCCTGGCGCTCGAACTGACCTGAGGTTGTTGCTTCAGAAAGTACATCCTTCCAAGTTACTATGGCGTATGGGCGTTTGGAATATTGAACGGGCCCCTGCACAGTCTCTTGTTCTTCCAAGGTCTGGTAGAGCTCTCAATGGAACCAGGGAGGATCAAGCACAAAGGAGGACCACCGAAGAACTTGTTGAGTGCGGATACAAGATCATTATTAGAACCCGAGGCCGACGACTTACTACCCTCGAGGAAACAGTTGGCTGATTCGATTGAGTCATTGGCTCTATCTCGGGTTTCCTGCAATGCTTCGACCCTGTCAACACCGATACCCTTGTTGTTCGTCATGATGGTAGTAACTGCTTGTGCGGCAACCCGAAAGGCCAATCAGGCATAGAAGAGAAAGAGGGAAGATGATAGAATGCTTTTGTTCCGAAATTGAGACGCGTTGTGGATGCGATAAAGAGTGAGTCGATGGAGTGTCGAGAGGGAACAAGTCAGCCTCGATATCAATAGAGAAGTTTAAGTATTTGCGGGGTATACAATACAAGAAAGACACTGGAGTTTGCTACTAATTATGTATACTCGTAGGAAGAAGCATAGGCGGTCACACTCTTATTGAATCTGATAGATAGTATGTTATGCGTGAATTCGCGAGCTTTGTAAGAATACGAAATCGTTGAAATACCGGTAATGACTGCCCATAATGCAAAATTTCCTCGTTTCCTCGGTTTCTCGTTAATAGTGAGTGCATTGGAATCCCCCAGATCCCAGCCAACCCTCCCAATTACTAGCCATCCTATCCCATTTCCTCCCCAAATCCCCCAAATCCCGTTTCATCTCATAGATATCCTCCGCTCATCGTGCTCCTACCCCATAGAGTGACCACCTGTCTCGATCCGAGCAAGCATATGCTGCCTATAAGCAATTGTCAGTACATTTTCATAATCAAAGTGGAGTAAGTGGGCTCAGTACCATAGACTTGTTTCCAGATCCACTGAGAATGGATTCCGCTCGGTATCTCTTAGATTGGCGTCTGTTTTAACCATGGGACGCTATCAGTTGCAGCGGGTGGCTGCTTGGGATCTCCCTAGTAAGGGATGTCGGATCCAGTTGATTCAGCATCGTCGTCTGTAGTACTGAGAACCTCGACGTCCATCAACCAGAGGCGGATTCTATCAGAAGTATTGCCGGAAGTGAGGCCGGATCTGCCATTGATCGCCCGACGATTCGCCGAAAATGGGTGATGTGCAACTAACCCGGTATTAGAACTCTCGCCCTCACTGGATTCACAGAATTTCCTGGGTGAACCTCCATTGAGGTGACATTATCACGCACGTTGCGCGCGCAATCAATGGCATTGCTTAGAGCAACGTCATCTGATGAGGAAGGATAATCCGCGCTGAGACTTACATTGGAGGTTCTGTCGTGTCTGCTGTAGGTAGGAGCTGAGAATGAGCCAAACGCGCCTCTCGTTCTCCTCACTCGACAAGTTTTGCGATGGCTGCAAAAGTCGTCCAGGAACGCCGGTGATGATTTGAGTGTAGTTCGCCTCGGAAACCTCGATTAAAGTCCCCCGGATGCGGCACTGGTACGTTCCGTTCTCTTGTTGTTGGAAATCTCCCGGCCCCAGCGGCTGAAGAAAGACCTCAGTCCATTGGATTGGTCTATCCGTAGTGCATTCAATCATGCGTGGGCGTCGCTGTCCGAATAGTCTAGCGGCTGTTCTTTCTACTTCGGAGTAGAAGACCAAGTCACCGACCTTGAGTGCCAAGGGGTCGCCTTGAGCAATGATCTCGGCATATTGGATGAACTTCTTGTGCGCCTCCTCAATGTCGTACTGCAATGAAATGTATGGATTGAGGGTCATTTCAGTTTCACGAGACGAGACACCAGGAACCGTACCCTGGTCAGGGATCTGGGTAAAATGATGGCGGTCATCCATATTTATTCAGCGCGTGAAACAAATAACCGTGTACCTGGAATGCCGGAATAATGTTCAGAATAGTGAATAGATTAGATGAGCCAAGAGGACTAGAAGTGAACGTGGGAACAATTGAGGAAGTAAGGATAATAACCATACTACGCGCGGCTACTCAAAAAGTGGATACATTTCGGTGGCATATAATCGAACACGCGGGTTATTCAAGAGATTTCTACAGAGCAAGAGAAGTCGGAATGCATGGGTATATTGAAACATTAAATTATTGTAGGAGCATGGAGCGTTTAATACCATCCATGAGCAAGAAACTGTAAGCATTGTAGTAGTCCCCGACGAATAGTAGAGCTTTGTTGATAACGTTAAATCCAAGAACTGCATGGAGACAGCATTGGTCTTAAGGTGCGAGCTGTCGCTGACCGTGTGAACGAAGCGGTGGCGGGGGTTATGCAGCGGTATACAGGTCAGGATTCAAATCAATAGAAAAGGGACTTCTACACGGCGAAGGATAGTATGTACCACCTTTAAACTAGAGATATATAGATTTGTATGGTGTAAAAAGCTTTATATGGTTGCAACCCTATAAACCTACCAGAATTAGGGTACTTTAATTATGAAGGCATATGTAATGGCGATTAAGGTATCTTAATTTTGCTGATATTCTAAAGCAAGGCATTCGGGCATCGGGTTGAAGCCTGACCTTTATACTGCTGCGTAGGGAGTTGAAAAAGTATTTCGGTGCCTCATACGGTGTAAGCATACAAGCCCAGGATTAGTCAGGGTTGCGTTTGCATTTCTTTAAATGACGGCGTAGAAGGGTGACTGCATCTATATTAGTTCATGGTGATTGAACGAAGAAGCAGATTGCTGAGATTTATATTCAACAGAGAGGGACTAAGGTACTAAAGTTGACTATAATGTATGTGGAAGGAAAGGCACTAACAGTGAGCGTGACCAGACTGTCGAAGGAAGTAGACAAGCAACTGTACCTAGGTAGTGAGTGACTGATATGAAACCTCCACGCATGGAAACATGAGTGGGGGCGTTGAGGGGTAAGGGTTACATATGTGATTTCAAGATTGCTTGCTGAGAACTACATAGATGAATGGCTTGGCCAGGTGGAACGTCGACGAGAGAAAGACAGGATCAAAGACAGGATCAAAGATAGGAGAAAGATAGGAGAGATAGTTTTTTTTTAAATGTTCTGATAATAACTTGGACAGAGGGCCCGGAAAATTGCACTTAAAGTAAAGGGCCAAATTGAATAGAGCTGAGCGCTGATAACCTGAGACGTCGAAATGCATTGGGATATTAAATCGTCGTAGAAGTGTTCAAACATTGCTACTATACCTATGTAGACTTGCGTTTCACAATAATGTTTCGATGATACAACTCATGTATGGTCAATAACTATTTGACGGCTAGTTAGATCGTCCATTATGGATGGCATTTTCTCTACTTGTTTAGTGATGACAAAAGGGGTACACAAACAGTGAGTACCCTCGAATAGTAGCAATGGTAATAAGTATTACAAGGTAAGAACCAGATGAAGTACTAGTAGCTACACATATGCATGATATGAAGATAAGTGTTGAAGAGTTATACGAAGAATCCCAGAGACCATAGACAAGAAACTCCCTACTAGATGAAAATTCACTGAGAACTTGGATTAGTCAAATGTCCGGGGTATTGTCAAACAATGAAACATACCGCGAGCAAACTTAATGGGCACTGAAAACTTGTTCAAAAGTTATGTCAGTTGAACGGCCTGCAACAACCGACACCCGGGCCCACCTATCATCAGTACACGTTTGGAAGGCCACTCTTGGTTGGCAATGATCCAGCGGTTTTGGAGGGCCAATCAAGCTCGTACATGACCGATGAGCCCTGAGGTTGCTCGGAGGACCGGAATAAGGGGTATGGGGATACATAAGGCGGGGCGGCGGCATAAGTAGGTTTTGGGGCGGCTACAGCTGGTGACATTTTCCGGCTCGTTGGGAACACTCGAATCGGCTAGGAGGAATTGTCATTCAAGAAGGCCAGACGAAGATGCAACGGGAGTCGTACTTTCAATACCACGATTTTACTTGGGGTCTCTGCTTTAGCCGCTCTTTCCTCCAACCGGTCGACCCAAAGCTTCAGTGTGAGCCAGCGGTGGAAAACACCGAACTTCTTAAGATAGGCCTTCTCAACATCGGCCGGGGGTGTTCCTGCGTCTACCTGCTTCTTGAACCAGGCTGGAGCGTGCTGCTTCTCATAGTCGGTGAAGTTATTCCGAGTTCGCTTTTGTCCTTTGCGTCGCGTTCCTGCGGTGGAAGATGAGGGCTGCGGTTTGATGGGTGTGTCAACCTTTTCTTTCCACATTGGCAGTTCTTTGCCAAGGTCGTTGGTCTCAATATTTGTTGGGGACGGGGAAGTCTCGATTTTTTGCTTTTTCGGAAGCGGTCGCATCAAGTCCAAGCTGCCATGGACCTGGTGTTTCGCTGACCGGTCTCCTTGGAATTGTTTAAACTGTTGTGTACTATCCCGGCCTTGTGCAACCTCAGGCTTTCTGTTGCTGAGAAGTCCAGAGACCGGCACTCCCATTTCGGTATCAAATGACTTCTGGTTGCTTTCGGTGACGAGGTTGACGGGATTTGAATGCTCTTGTTGGCGTGAGTTGCATACCACATTATCATGATCATGACTGTCACTGTCAAAAGATACCTCTTTTGAGACAGGGACGGTGAAAGGGATGTCGGATCCACTTGAGACTCCCGAGCTTTCGGATAAACTGCGTGCACGAGAATAGTGTGACTCGACAGAGATCGTGGGGCGACCTGACTCGTTTGGGGTAGAGTACTGTGAACTGGGGGCTTGCGGCGTACGGGACTTTTTCGTGGGGCCTCGAATACCCTGCAGCTTGACGCGACGTTTTTTCAGTGCCAGCTGAAGTCGCTTCAGTTTCTCCACGTCTGTTCCCATTAGTATTTCTCTCACAACCTACGCGCGTAAAAAAAAAAAAAAAAAAAAAAAAAAAAAAAACCAGGAAGTACGGACATTTGATTTTTCTGTCAAGTTCCTCCAAGACATCTGCCTCGATGACCAAAGTGATCCTGGACTCCCTCTCGGCGTCAGTGGGACTTGGCCACAAGTAGGAGTTTGCCGGAAGGAAGCATCGGTTGAGAAGGATGCTTTTGTGAAGTGACTCATCAATCTGAACGAGGTTTCCTTGATCGTAACAGTAGTACGAGCCGTCACTTTGCTTTTCGAAACTGCCGTGTCGGAAAATGTTGACCCAGCTAATGGACGCATCGTTCTCACTCCTAGGCGGCCCCGAGTCCGACGAAGACGGAGGACGAATGCCCAATGTTTCCCTCAGACGTGTCTCGACCGTGTAACTTTCAAGTGGTTCGTCTGAGAAATATTGGGTGAAAGTCTCATCGTTGTCAAGAACAGCCTGATAGGACTGCATCAACATGAGACCATCCTGTGGCAAGGACTCAAATTTTGGCAGCTGGGACCGGACGCCCTCTCGATACGTCCCCCATTTGATCTGATGGTTAGGACCACCATCCATTTTCAAGTGGTTGTTCTGTTTGTAATGTTAGCCTTTGGCTAAGCGTCAGAGTTGGCTAGCCGGTCTCACTTAAGGCAGTGTAAAAACCGTCACTTGGGTAAGCTTCTGGGTATGGAAACGTGAACTGAAAAGCGAAAAGTTTGGAATGTCGAAAGATAAAAGATGAGAGGCGAGGGTGATAAATGAGCAAACACTAGGAATTATTTCCTAGACCTTTTCAACCCCCCCTTGTCGCAGAATGTGCCCAGGTGTTGGATAAATCGTGGTCGAAGGCAGATGTCATAGACGTGAATAATACCGGTATTGAAACCACGTAATTTTCAATACTTCACACTATTGACGGTAAGATAGTCGAGTCACTTCAAGTGAATTCATGTAAATGTATGATGGCTTCTAAGCCTAGATATTATAGGAAGTCAAATAGTTCTCCTAATTGACGAGGGGAAATTTTGCGACACACTTTCTGGTTTGCGGACACTATTAATTGAGACCAGCAAGCGAGGCCCACACTTTATTGGGGAACCAGGCGTCTAAAGTCCGCTGCAGTCCCCAATCACACTTTAACCTGGGCGTTTGTGGGGGTTCTTCGACCTCTAAAGGAATTCCTACAAACGCCGTGAGTGACAACTCTTACTTTCCCGTGCTGCATAGTGAAGACTCGATTACTCGCCGAGATGCGCCCGACCTTGGGAGTCTACGAACATATCCAACAGCGCTTTCACCGCTATCTATTCGTTGGTAGATTAGTCTTATTAATCTTCAAGTAATCCTGCCCCAGCTATATGATTGGTGTATATTAATATAATGTGAAAGCCATTAGACTGGAAAGGACGGGCAATCAGCAGGATTTAGTACAGTCTCAACAAACGATAAGCACATAAATACACTCCATCTTTTACGATATACATTTTAAACTGATGATTTGGTTTTCAACACTTGCCTGCAGAGTTTTCATAATGCCCCTATGTACGGAGAGGATGGTATTTTCCACTACAACTTTTACATCTGTATTATTGATTCTGATGATTTTTATCATATTGTTCTTCAATGTTTGATCCATGTTTTCTTTGTTTTATTCACCTGATTCATTAGTCAGAATTCTAAAGGTGACTATAATAAATTTTCAACTCCGTACACATACGTTCAGCAGTTGCCGTCCTCGTATCCGTGACATATTAATTACATAATTTACACTATAATTTACAAGTCAGAGAATAATTCATAGGACTGAAATTATTGCGTTGTGTCTTCGTTGGATCATGTATTTTTTAAACTTTCTTTAAAATTCGAAGGACTAAAATACTATTAAAAATGGGAAGGATTGAACAGGTCGTTTTTCTCCTTTCAAGGATGGGCAACACAGGATGGTGGCGGCCGGAAGCCCGCGTTAGGCGAAAAATTTGCCATCGATAGGATATTAATACGTGGTCGAGAGATTAGTTCTCACAGGTTATTATTTCTGAATAATAATCGTGGATATAGCGACCAAGGTTGGGCTAGAAATTCAAACCGTAAACCTCCTATATAAGTGCCCCTATAAGCCCCTAATAGACGGCCCTATATAAAGGACCGAATAAAAAAGTGGGCCCATAATACATAGCTACCACGTGACCGTTAAAATCCATCGGCGAAAAGCCTCAAACAAACCCATCCAATTACGCCAAACATCCCTCAAGCGACGCTTGCCAAAATCAAGATGTGGATTAACTGCGGGAAACTCTCAGATTTCACGCAGGCGCGATATGTGGTCCGTCTAACCACAAATAAGAAAGTGGTCTTATTCCGGCTCCCGACGATCGACAAATCAAGCTTGAAATCTAACGAGACCAATGATGGCTGGTCGTACTATGCCATGGAGGCAGAATGCCCGCATGCCGGCGGTCCGATGGCTGACTCCTCGGTTGATATCGAGGACTCCGCGTATGTCGTGTCGTGCCCGTGGCATGCATACGATTTCAATGTAGAGACTGGTGAATCCAGCGTCGGTATCAAGGCCTGCACGTTCCCTGTGGATGTGCGCGGCGAGTTCGTCGCGCTGGATTTCCCTATTGAAGATGGGGTTAGCGTGGGACTTGCTAGTGTCGACCCTGTTAGTGAGAAGGTCAAGCTCAAGCACCCGCGGCCTGCGGAGAAGGCTGCTGCTACCACAACTGCTACCACTTCAGTCTCTAAATCTGCTTCTGCGAGTCGGGAGGATCCCGGCATGGCGATTTATCTCGGCGATGACGCAACACTATGTGACTGGGCCGCGCACGTTCTCAATACCGCCAACCCAGAGCACAAGATCGAGCTGGCTACATATCTTTTCTCTATTTTCACTGCTAGAGAGGGTTCCGATTCACCCATGCCGCTTGGCAGAGGCACAGTCGCCCCGCCAGACCAGCCGCCGCGCGAGAAAATGGAAACCGTTGACCCGGGCCACATGCCGAAGGCAGGACGAGGCGGGACCTTGAAGAGCCGCATTTCCATGCTCCATGCGCTAGCCAATATCGAACTGTGGGCTATCGACCTCGCTATCGATATCTGCATTCGCTTCGCAACGTTCCAAACCGAAGGGACGTCCCAGGAACTTCCACGCGCATTCTTCTACGACTGGTTGAAGGTCGCGAACGACGAGGCCAAGCACTTCTCCCTGCTCCGCACCAGACTTGAGGAGATGGGATCTAGCTTTGGTTCACTCCCAGTTCACCACAGTTTGTGGCTATCGGCAACTGAAACTGCATACGACCTCCGAGCGAGAATTAGTATTATCGCGCTGGTACACGAGGCACGAGGCTTGGATGTCAACCCCATGACGATTGAGAAGTTCCGTAAAGCTGGTGATGGCGAGAGTGTGGCGACACTGGAGATTATTCACAACGATGAAATTACACATGTCACTACTGGTCATCGGTGGTTGACGTGGATCTGTGCCCAGGAGGGGACTGATCCTGTTCAGGTGTTCCGGTCGAATGTGCAGAAGCATTTTAAGGGTCCTATCCGGGGACCATTTAATGAAGAAGCGCGCTTGCAGGCTGGAATGGACAAGCGCTATTATGAGAACTCGTGTGTTCCCAGTGCGGGAATTGCAGCTTCATGACCGGGCACGATAAAAGAAAAGGGAAACGCTTTACGTTGAAACATGATGTCACGCGGTTGATCAGCGATTTGGTCATTTCTCCTGCTAGTGTGTTTTTTTTGATATCCCAATCTTGAACTAGCAGAATGTACATAGAAAGCAAGCATTTCATATTCATTATTTCGCTGAAATCGCTATGAACAGTAAACATTAGGAGGCCCTGACTCCCGACCGTCGATCATTAAGTGCCATTAAGTGCCATTAAAAGAGCCATATCACCCAAGCGACCGTGGGAATATCTAGATGTATTCAGCCTTCAGCTGGACCTTGGAGCAGCTGGAGGGGATGGTGGCGGTGTAGTATCGGTTCAAGTAGAAGAGTTGGGGCGCATTGTGGTACCAATCACAGACTGTTTTGGGGATATTAATGCCATGGTCTTAAAAATGGGGATTAAAGAACAAAGACGGGGGTTTTCTTACCGAGCCAGCCACCGAAGCCGCTGCTTTCCGACCATTGGAAGTTGTCGCCCTTGATAGAGTACCCTGCGCTGCCGCCACTGCCCGCGTTGATAACGATTGGTTCCCAGGCTAAAGAGAAAGAAAAATATCAGGTTAGTTCCAGACTGCAATGTGACACAGAAGATTTTCCAATGTGGCGATACTCACAAGCATAGTTGGTGTTGCCGGTGGCGATCAGTCCCCAAGAGAATTCAGTCTTCAAATCAACGAGTGCATTCGTCCCATTCAGATAGACAGAACTGGCTATGCTGGCATCCTTGGTAAGAACGGCATCGTTGAGACCTGCGCCCGTGTGGTAGGCGTAGACATATAGGTCATTGTGATCCGCATTGGTAGCGCCGGTAGACTTGAGGTGGAAGTGTTTGGACTGCCTGGTAGTGAGAGGAGCTGCGAAGGCAGAAGTAGCCAGTAGAAGAAGTGATGCGAGGAACTTCATTTTTGTGTTTTTGAAATGATTTTTTTGAGGTGAAGAGGAAGGGTTTGTTTAGCGGTGGAAGTTAAAAGGTAAAGGTAAAAGGTAGGAGGTAGGAGGCTGGAGATTGGAGATTGGAGATGGAGGCTGGGGAAAAAGAACAGTCAGAGGGAAGCTGGCAATATTTATGTGCATGGACTGTTTTCGACTTTTAGATATGGAGATACATCATAGCATGTTTTTTACAAATGATTTTCCGATTACTTGCTCTTTTGGAAATTAATAGTGTCCATTTCTGTACAGACCTTTCAGTCGGAGGTTCACATTCTAAAAGACCGGGCAAAAAAAATACTCGAGAGATGATCACCCCCCAACGACAACGGATATTGCATTGATCGCTGGAGCTCATGATGTCAACCGAACAACTAAAAATGGGTCTGTACCAGTGATGTGTCGGGGTGGCGAAAATCCTACTCCATTTAGCCTAAGTGGGACTGGGGTTGGCGAGGAACTACGCAGAACTAGAGAATTGGCGGAGGGGAAGTGAGACATTTCTTAGTCGGCTTCGGGCATCTATGAGAATAATCAGCATGTTTATCATCTTCATTGTAACATTACTTTCTTCATGGCTGAGACATATTTCGTCTTGCTCGGAATCGATTTGCTGAAAAATGTTAGTGAGAAATCATCTGAGCAAAGGCAGGCTATTTGTATCAGATCATATGACTGTAAAAGATAATGGGCTGAGACAAAGAGGAGGACTTACTGTAAGCTACCGATAGCTTCAAATTGATTCGAGTTCGAGACGTTTTTCGAGTCCGCATGTGGCTTCCGTAGGACGCCTCTACGATGTAAGGCCCGCCGCATATCTTGAGTGTTGTATGCCAAGGTTGCTTCTGTAAATCCCAATCTCACAGCATCGGACTTGAAGTAATATCGCCGACTATTAACAGGTTAACAAACAGATTCCACCATACCAAGGCTATGGTGTCATAGACTTATTTATTTGAAG